AAAGTCGAGGGGTGAGGAACAGAAGAGACAGACATGAAGGCAGAGGAAAGGTAGGATGAGTACTGCGCCAGAGGTCAAAATGCCAGTTTATAGACTTTTTTGCCATATGAGTATACGTTGCCCAAGGCGCACCACGTGGAGGTAAGTCTATCACGCACCCCACGTCCAGATATATAGGTACAATAAAAGGTGAAGTTCATTGGGATTATGAGACTAATTAACTAATGATCTTAATAAATGTCCACTTGAGGGTTTACAATAGCAACAGAACTGTAGCGAAATGACCATCCAAATTTGGTCAATAGAAACCGCCACAAAATATTAAATAGTTGACAAAAAATAACATTATGTCCCAATTAGGGGACTCAGTTATGTATATTTATTTATTTATTTCAAATGGCAGGCGTTTTGATAGATATTATTAGCCCTTTAATTGACTTCGGGCTTCATAGAGGGAAGGTTCATCAAAGTAGCAGAAAGTCGAGAGGTGGGGAACAGAAGAGCGATTCACAGATGTAAAAGAGGCAGACCGACACAAAGGCAGAGTAAAGGGTAAGATGAGTACTGTGAAAGCGGTCGAATATGTCAAGCAGTCGTGCCATTTTAATTTGAAGTGAGAAGTAAACTGCCGGTCAATAGACTTTTTTGCCGTATGAGTATACGTTGCCCAGGGTGCACCACGTGGAGGTAAGTCTATCGCACACCCCAGTTATGTATATTGGGATTGAAAAAAAACGCGTGATGAAAAAAAGGAATAATCTTTTATGAGAAGAGTAAGTTAGGAGAGCATGGCTTTTGTTGAGAAGGGAAAATATGATATTTCCTATTGAGTTGAATGCTAATAGTCATTAATTTGGCTATCAGCTAATGACTTTAAAATTTTGTCAGTATGGATATTAACATACGCATCTGAAAGCATAGCACCTAAGTAAATTTGTAACAAGACAATTTCAAGACTCTTATTATTGCAAATGATTTTCCTTTCGTTTACTAAAAATTATCAAAGCCAAAAATAACTCATTTCAATATGATCGAAATGTCAAGAGAGGGGTGGTGCATTCAGAAACCATTCTAATGGGAAAGTTAAGTTCGCAAATAGCTGGCGTAAAAAAACCCTAGAGACGACAAATGTCCTTTTCAGGTTTATTTAAGACGCTATTCGTTTTTTTATCACCTCCTTGTCTGACGGCTAAGTGTTTATTGTTCCTCATTTGTTGCACAACACACTGCCCGACTAGACAGAGCAAGTACGAACGTAATAAGAGCAACAGGCAAGTCTAGTGGAAGTTGTTGTGAGAATAGGCCCTCCGCTTAAAGTCAAAGGGACGACAAAAAGGCTCTTTAACTTTCAATCTATTTTAATTTAAGAAGGATTTGCATACAATTGCCATCTATATAAATACTTCATCAAATTTTCACAATAATACTCTAAACTAGATTATACTGCGAATAAAGATCTCCTTTCTGTAAATTCAAGATTATGCTATTTATATTTACCTTTAAGGGGTGTGCGATAGACTTACCTCCATGTGGTGCACCCTGGGCAACGTAGACGCACACGGCAAAAAAAGTCCGTTAACCGGAAGTTGACTTCTGACTTCAAAATACTATCACCCCACTGTATGTCATATTCTACCACTTCTACAGTACTCATCTTACCTTTTTTCTTGCATTTGTGTCTGTCTGTCTGTTTCTTTTACATCTGTAAACCATTATTCTGTTCCTGTCTGTTTCTTTTACATCTGTAAACCATTATTCTGTTCCTCCTCTCGACTTTTTGTCACTTTGATGTTCCTCCTTCTCTCTGTTAAATCCGAAGTCAGCAAAATGACTAATGATAACTATCAAAACGCCTAACATTTAAAATAAATAAATATTTGCTTTTAAGGAGTATTCATTCATCATATTAACTAAGAAAGTTCAAAATGTCGTGGTGTTTTGTGAATCTAATTCTTCATCTGAAGCGGTTTACCAATCAATTAAATTTCGTATTATTGCATCACCCTTGCAATATTCTACCGGACAGTTGACATTTTACTTTACTTAATATCAAGTGTGAGTGTCTTCTCTGCCATACCTGTACATGACTAAAAGCTTTGTCCCTGATCCGTTCGTAATATTATGAAACTTAATTTGTGTAGCAGCACTGTGAATCGAGTTAGTTCCTTGCCTGTAATCTTCACCAATGATATCAACCAAACTAGACCCTCCTCTCAATGAAATCTTTCACTAAATTTTAATGAGACTTCAATGAGAGCCTATTTTGTAATATAATTCATAATTCTTAATTCAAGAATCATGGCAAATGAGTGTTAAGACAACACGAGCTAATGCAGACGGGTGCATTTGAGAATGCAAGTTGTCCAATGATAATTGAGACGGAGATTTAGTTACATTAAATAGCGTTTTCCTTAACTCCATTGGTACGTTGAATTGCTTTCGGCAACATGAAACTTATGTGACGAGGTATTCAACATTAATTCATTCACTAATAGTTTAGCCTTGAAATACTTGAAGTGACCACCGCCCTGGATGCCGATTTTTTGTGAGTGACGGTTTCACATGGGTATGCATCTTCACAATTCTCCATTTTTTGACCATGAGTTAAAGTTTTTCGTGGTAAAGTTCGGGGCGGGGGGGGGGGGGGGGGGGGGACAGAATAGTGATTCACAGATGTAAAAGGGGCACAGACACAAAGGCAGAGAAAAGGTAAGGTGAGTACTGCGGAAGTTGTCCAATATGTCTTTCAGTCGGCCATGGTAGTTTAAAGTTAGAAATTAATTCCCGGTGTATGGACTTTTTTGCCGTATGAGTATACGTTGCCCAGGATGCACCACAATGAGGTAAGTCCATCGCGCTCCCCCCCCATTTAACTATTATGTGAGCTTTATATATTTCTTGAATAGGATGCTTAATTAATCGGCGTTATTATAGTTGATTTTTTTTGGTATTTATACTTTCTTTCGCAGCTTTGATTTATTTTTTTAGGGTTTCATTCACGAAGGTTCTTTCCTGCCTAGCAGCCCTGAGCATCAAATGAAATTGCACCAATAGCGTTGGTTATAAGTCCAAATTCTTTCTTTAAGGCGACATTGAGATCGTTCAGTAAAGTGAACTTGTTTTGGTTCTGGCGAAAGCTGTTAATGACACTTATTGCAATATTAAATTAGGTTTCAAGAATGAGTTTTAAGAAATATCTTTTTCAGTAATAATTTCATCGTTTCAACTAGATATTCAAATCAAATGCCCGAGTACTGATACATGGCGCATTAATTTAATTAGTTTAATATTTCACTTATCTTTGTAAGTATAAAATACTGAAATAGCATAAATTTACTTTGAGTTTTCTCATTGGCTGATGCAGACCAGTGGAATTATTTTGCCACTAACCAATCAAAATGAAAGTCACCCTGGCACACGTATAACGAACCCTCAACCACGAGGAAATAGTATTATTTCACGGTATGCATGCAAGTCGGACTCGATTTTAAACTCCATATAATGTTGATCTTTTTTTTCATGGAATTTTTATCATATCAAGGGCAAATAGAACCCATTAATGGAGTGGTCTAAAGGAGCAATTTTAATGTATTCTTCTATCCATGCCAACATTATTGCCGAATCCGCACTTTCTCTACCTTTTTCTTTCAGTCTGGTTTCTCTTCATTTCGAGTGGAAAATTCATTGATCTGACATTCCATGTTATCGAGCATCCAGAACCTAGCAGTTTGATTGGAAATATAATTCAGTCTATCGCTTTACCCAAGTCAGAGGTTCAATCGATGTCTGTTGAATCACCCCCTCAGGCAGAATGGAATACCCTTGTAAATATTGACTCTTCCACTGGTGATATTTGGACATCCCCTGAAAGTCGAAGTACCCTTGATCGAGAGACTCTTTGTCCACTGACCTCCAAAGGTGAACGAATTCATGATTGTAAAATTTCGTTCTTGATATCAATTAATAAGAAAATTCTGGTTACTCTTCATCTTATTATTGATGATCTAAATGATTCGCCGCCAGTATTCTTTTACAACGGTCAGATTATGAAGGAATTTACTGTGAGTTTTTCAGAAATGGCAACAGTTGGGGAAACTACCGCTAATCTTCCTATTGCCATTGACCCAGATTTGAAATCAGCAACATCTTCTGTAAATTATCATATTATTGGTGAGAATCTTCCTTTCATACTTCTACAAAGTGGAAGCATTCCACAAATTCGCCTCTCGGACCCACTAGATTATGAACGAGATCCGATGTACACATTCTTTCTTCAAGCCTGCAAGAACCAAAGATTTGAGCACATGTGTTCTTCTATTCATGTCACCGTAAATGTTGAAAATGTAAATGATCACATGCCAATTTTCTTGAATTCAACCTACAATGCTGTTATTAATGAAGATACCCCTGTCGGATCAGTCGTTCTTGTTGTTGAAGCGCTCGATGCCGATGAACCTCCATTTAGAAATGTCTCTTATTCCCTTGTGATTGACAAACGGAACGCCGAAACATTCCCGTTTGCTGTGGATGAGCAAAATGGGCAAATATTTCTCAGATTTCCAAATCTGCAGCCAAAGAAATACTCATTCATTGTTGAGGCCACTGATGATTCAAACACCAACACGAGATCTACTGCACTTGTCAACATTTTTGTTGCCGATGTTAATGATCATAAACCAGTAATTGAGATGAAACCTTTTAGCAACTCCTCATCAACCGTTTATGCTACTGTTGGAGGTGGTTTCGTTGTTGAATTACAAGAAGAGGTAATAGAGCCTGCGGTTTTAGCTTATCTTACGGTTACTGACTTTGACGAAGGTTCAAACGCGTTATGCACGTGTCATCTCAAAGATTCTCCATTTTCGAGTGCCTTTGAGCTGAAAAAAGTGAATCAGCTTTCACCACAAATGACTGTCTACCGATTAGTTTCTTCTAAAGCACTTGACGCTGAGGATTCTTTATTAGTGAAGCATCTAATCGAACCGATTGAATCTGAGCGATGTAAAGGTATTGCAGGATTTCTTGCCCTGGTAATAACATGTTCTGATTCTGGTGATAAACCCCTTCACAATGAAGCTACAGTCTATGTCGCTCTACGCGGAATCGAAGAGTTTCCTACAGAGTTCGTATTCCCTGATCCAATTGGAGTTTACAGACTATCTGTAGAGGAGAACACAAAACCTGGGACCAAGCTAATGGAGATAGCTGTCACTGATAAGGACACAGGAAGTTGTACTCAAATGTCCATTGCTGATACTGATCAGGTTCTAATTGAATCTGATAGTGGTGCTCTGGTACTTATTTCACCTCTTGATTATGAAAAGGCAAGTTCGTTTAAATTCATCGTAACTGCAAGCGAAAAGAATGATTACAATCCTTCCCGTACTACAGCCACAGCTACCGTTGTTGTAGAACTAATTAATGTTAATGATAATAAACCTCGACTAGTGTCTCTAAAGAGCATCGACGATAAACAATGTCAAAAGATGATCACAGCAATAATGGAGCATGATAACCAAGTCCAAGAATGCTTCTCACTGGATGTTGTGGAGGAGATAGAACTTGGATTTTTCATTAACCATCTCGAAGCGTTTGATGCAGATACACCAAATTTAACTCAAGGATTCACTTTCTCACTAGTGGGTGCTTATGTTCCGATCAAATCACAGAAGGTTGACAGGCTATCTGTCTCTCCCTTACAGGTTACGACTAACGGTGATTTGATTGTTTCAGGTCGATTGGATAGAGAGCAATTCAGTTGGGTGGATTTATTGATATCTGTCTCTGATGGGGAGGAAAAATCGGTCTCCCTGCTACATATGAAACTGTTAGATATTAATGATAACGCACCCGTTTGGCAGTTCCCATCCCCTACCGACTACCACATTTCCGTGAGTTTGTTCGCCGACTTAGATGCAGTAGTCTCGCGGGTTCAGGCTCTAGATGCTGACTCTGGAATATTGAATGGGGGTCTGGAGTACAAAATCTCGCCCCAAGAGAAAAGTTTACCCACTTCTGGACTTCTTCAAGATCAACTAACCAATTCCCTCTATGGAGCGCATTTATTCTCGCTAAATCCTCACACTGGAAAGTTAAGTGTTAAACAACAGCTTCCTAATCAGACTGAGATCCCCTATCGTCTGGATTTGATCGCCACTGATAAAGGAAAACCCGCATTGGAAGCCACAGCTCACCTCTTGATATCGTTGGTTGATAAGCCCTTTATTGAAATGCAGGATGTTCAAATGAACCCCATTGTGAGTACAAATAATCTTCAAAACGATGGTGTTGAATCAAATCCTGCTCCCATTGGAGCACCCGGTTTTGAAAACATTGAGTACACTACCACGCCAATGAACATGGAAAATTTGATTCATATCATAGGCATTTCGGCTGGTGCCATAGCACTTCTCTTTTTCATCGCAATCATTTCATTTGTCCTGTGCAAGAGAATGCAAGGTGGAAGTCGTTCATTGTGTCAAAAACCTGCTGATCCCATTGAATTAAAGCTTCAACCAAGACAGAGTTGGAATTCAAATCCCTCCTCCTCTGCTCATGATATTCTTCTTGAGAAGCCCTTGTCGGATGGCGCACAAAATAACCACCCAAGCATAAATTCTATCCCTGTCTCAATGATCGAAAGTCCTAGCTGCTCAATCGCTATTACCAGTGGTACCCACTCGGCCCTCAAGGAAATGAGTGGTGGGCAAAATGTTCCAGTTATTGTCAGTTTGGCTGTTCTTCCAGCTCCTACACCTTCAGCTAATGTCCAATTCCCCCCTTCTACTGAATACGTGGTCATTTCAGATGGAATGCCTGTCGAGTCGCCCAAAAGCGACTGGGAAGCTGTCAATGAAAGTAGACTCGTGATTGCTGAAAGGTAGCTAATTTTTTTCCAACTGTTTATTATATCAACTGATCTGTTTTTTTTCTATGCTTTGCCCTGCCTCACTATTTTAAATAAATTTGAACATTCCATGTTACCAACATAAGGAGAATCTCTTCCTTCCTAATAATAATAAAATTTAATTATGTATTTCATGAATGATTTTCCACTGGTCATAGCTTTATATAATGAAAGAATTTTTTAAGGAATTTTCAAAATATAATTTTTGTGGATTAACTCCATCTTGGTAATCATTTGGCAGCCAATTAAATTGATTTTAATTAACAACAAAAATAACAGATAGCGACAATTACTTTGGAAATTAAAAACAAATAGGCCTGTCTCAAAGGGGCATTTTTAATCTTTTTTGTTGTTAAATTTCAATGCATTTATAAACTTTTAAAATTTTAAGTTCAATTAAATGATAGTTAATAATTTGACCATAGCGATAAAGTTCTATTTCTTGAAAAATTTCTTAAAATTTTAAATTTCTTACTACGCATATAACTCGAACCAAAGTCACAAAGACATTTTGCTGGCGTTAAATTCACAAAGAAGTGTTTGAGCAAACAGTTGAATGCATTTTCCTACCTCTAAGTTAAAGTCTGAAATTTTCATGCATCTGCTGAAATATGTATTACTGGCTGATAATTAGGGAGTTTTCATATGATTTGCGTTTTCTTGACTGGTTAATAAAATTATTAAATGGTTTTTCTTTATTAAACTCAACATGAACAATCGCATCAGTGCAGAATCTAGATTCATTAAAATACTGCTGCAAATTTCGGAGGCTCTTCTGAGCTTACATGGAATGTTTCACAAATGAGCACGGAGCACGTTTACTTAGGACGGGTATTACGGATAAAATGGGTACACGCAGGGAGCTACTCATGATCAGGATGGGGAATTAGGTTAACCAGAGGTTAATGATTGGTCACTGTACGGTCGCTGCATAGAGTTGTACGGCCGCACCTCCCAATCCTGGCGAGCAGACATGCAGACATACGATGACGCACAGAGCGATAACGTGTCCCACAGACCTCTAGATGCAGGACCGCATTTGCTCTCTACGCGATAGATAGTGGCGCCATCCATTCTAGAATATTTTTAACCGATTGAAGCTAATTTGCTTGATATTGAACGCGTTGTAAAGTATTGATAAAAATAGTTTTTCTAATAATTTTTTGTCTGCAAATACTTTCATTAAACGGAAAACTCTCTTTTAACCAAATTTGGTTCGAATATGACTTTAAAAATTTGTCGACAGTAGAGGCAATTTTTAACATTTTATTGAATAAATATCAGCCTTCATGGTATCTAAAT